CCGCATTTCCCAAATCCGTGTGTTCTCGACTCGTGACAAGAAGCTATCGAGTGGGGTATTACAGGGGACAAGGTCATCTTCAACTCTTTAATCGCGGAAATTTTCAATGCGCCCTGGAAATTGTTGCTGCTGGTGGAACCACGGTGATATCGCTGACCGTAATAGCTTGTCTATGAAGCTGTTCGATGGGAATCTTTCATTTCGAGCAGTCGACCCTCCCTATACCAATGACATTACCGATAAACTGATTAGAATGCTCGTTACACCATGTATTCTATGCCAATTTATAAATTGGATTTTACAAAAATAAATTTCAGCCTCTGAAATAAACTCTCCCCCTTGAACGGGAAAGCCGCATTAGTCAATATTCAATTATGCTTCGCTAACCATCAGATTGCACTTATCAGGATCTCGTTAACAAAAAACTTGCGTCAACCCAACTGTACTGTATAATTAATGCAAGAGGCCCAAGCTGCTGAATCAAGGCAATCCTCTTTTGATGACCATCCGAGGCGGGGGGGGGAATTGAGAGAAGCCGCCCGTCACGATCAGCTGAATTCCACCGAACGATCTCTTAGAAGAGGCAAGATGTTGACACACCACCGGGTGGCTGCCCGCGCTACTGTATCTGGGCTCATTTTGTCCCTTCCAACAGTCTATATTACATTATTTCTTCCTTTACTCGTTGATGTGCCTTTTCACCCATGCAACCGGAGGTGGGTTTCTTGTGTGTGATGTTATCGTAGCACCATCCCAGTGATTCGTTTGCTTTGATTGCAGCGCTGAATAGAAATTCACACTATATCGAGCCACGTGAAGGTTGCACCTTGCAAGGTCTCCCCGTCCATGATTCCATCAACATATGATTCTGTTATAAAGTTGTATTTTCCAGTGCGTTGCATGCGAAGTATGTATGGGACTTGGGCGCCTCTTAGTATGGCAACAACATCTCCTGCTTTAATGTTGTCATAGCCAAGGCCCAATCTCCCTGCTGTAGTTATAAATGGCAATCGTTTAAGAGATCGCCCGATGATGTTGTTTCGTAATCGCATCGATGAAATTTTCGCCGCGTCGGAATCATTTTCAATCCCAGTTCGTGCTAGAAACTTGCGTGCTTGGATTTCTATGCGCCTATCTTTAACACGGCGAATGCTCTGTCGAAGGAGGTGTGTAGCCTCGAAAATTATCTCTCCACCGGTCCTGACAAGACTACCTTCTGATTCGAGTTTCGCTCCACCTACTGAGGCTCTGGCCACTGCATGCAGGCGCTCTTTAAACGAGGGAAAACTGCCTCTAGTCTGGTATGTCAGACGTAAGATTTCAACTAGCCATTCTTCCGGCCATGAAAAGGTTTCCTCTAGAGGAACGTCCCAACTGGATATCCTTTCCGGAAATGATCCAACGCTGTGAACCTTATCGCAATATAACCTCTTAGAGATATGCCATGTATACCTGAGGCGTTTCTGTCAATTTTTACGATTGGCGTGAGATTTATTGTGCCCGAAGCACCAAATTCTGGTTCTAAGGTCATATGGTCATCTTTGACTATCTGTAATGGCTCAGTAATGGACTGATGCCAATCCGGAACCCACGATGGCAGATTTCCACGAGTCGAGCTGCTGTGGGGTTGAATGAGAGACAGAAGAGATATATGTCCTTGTTGAAGCAACACGGATGTGGTGAGGGTATAGACTTCCCGGTATGACTTCGTGTAGTTTGGACTGACACCTTTCTCGCTGAGATCCTTTCGGTCTGAAGCTAGGCTTAATAACGCAAATATCTTGTCGCGGGGATCGCTTGAGTCTAGGTGGTGAGGGCCGTGCTTTTGAGGATTGGGACTCCCAACGCAGGTAAGCCTGAGTAGAGCAATCAATGGAAAGCCGCTCATCTTGACCCGTGGGGCGTTACTCATCATTATTGCGCGAAAAAATCCCCCGGATAAGACAATATGGCAGTGATACAAATTCAGTGGCCCCCGGTCATTGGTCCTTCCATATACGACTCCGGTAAAGCACTGATATGCATTCATCGCAGCAGCGAGTCTTTTTCTATTTATTTTCAGATCCCCACATATGAAGATTGCTTCCTGCGAAAGAGCAATCTCTTGAAGGACCCAGACTCTTCCGAACCAGGGTCGCTCAAGTAGCTTTTTCATTTCTCGGATTGGGAAACAGTTTCCCTCGCCAATCCATCCATTTATCTTGTGGAATAGGTTCCACAGCTTCATGAAAATTGGTACATACATGCCTACTCGATTCAGTCGCGTTATAATAGAGTCGAATATAAAGGGGGCCGGATGTGTTGAATAAAGTATGGCCAATTTTCGCCAGATGGTATCACCAATATGTAGATCGTGGTAGAAACCACACAAGTAGGCTTCGGCGCCGAACTCATCCAAATATTCGAGAGCTCGTTGGCTTTCACTGTCGCCACAGCCCAACCAGGCTAGGACCTGATCCGCCCGCCTATATATGTCCCCCATTAGCGCTACTTGCCAGGCCTTTTCTGTATCGTTTCGCTGGTTGATGCAGAGATAGTCGATCCACATCAGAATAGGGAATTTGGAGGGCCGAAGTGTAATCAGCGCGTTGAATAGATTCTCCGGAATCCGGATGCCAACGTCGTCTACCAATATGACGCGATTTGTATTGGGATTTCCCCAGGCATACGAAAGAGCCTTGTACGGGGGAGCCTCTTGTAAACTTGTCTGCAACAATCGGCAGCACGGAATCCGTGCATAATGTGCCCCAGGGCTTGGTAGAAGCTGCAATAGCCTGATTTCACTTCTATCCCGACTTAAATCGAGATATTGTATAGACATGGCCACTGATAAATTTCGGGATGCAGTAGAGATATGTCGTGTAGATGTGAATATATGTACCGTTAATTCAAACATAGGATTAACGGTTTTGTTTTTTTCCGTGGCAGAATAAAGGATGCCTGATATGTGAGGAGGTGGAACGTGTGGTTTGAATTCATATACTAGATAGACATCAACAAAGGAGGCGCAGCAATGTTGCTGCCAGCAGGCTGTTGGTGCCTAAACGCAAGGAAGAAGCAATAGCAAATCATTGTTGGAGACGAATACTAATACTCAGATTGTTATGCAACGCCTCCACACGTACACCAGTTTATCTCTAAGGGCGCCGAATTGGGTCTCGACTTGGGCGCCCGTGGGCCCCCAACCAAGCCCATGGGCTTAGTTGTCAAATATAAAGAGTATTACCAGTTCAGGATTGGACCATCCAAATTGGGTGTTGTGCCCCTGAATGCCAGAGGCCGCCTGCGTTGGCCGCCAATACCCTTGTTTTTACACAAGAGGTATCTTGCGGAGGAGTGGAGAGCGATCAATTGGAAGAACGGAACTAGTGCTGTCTTCAGAAGCGATCGGATAAAAGCGCATTCAGATGGTCTAAAGTCTAAGTTCTAAGCTTGTAAACTAGTAAAGGAATAGACCTATTTATACAAGGGATCATTCGGTCTACTAGTATTGTTCAACTGATCTCTTCTACCAACTGGGATCTGTAGAGATCCACTTCTCCTTAACAAGGTACGACTTTTTAAAAACTAGGGTAGGAAATTCTATTGAAAAGGGTGATCAGTGCGGTTTGTACGTATAGGTGCCATGTCCCCTTTGGATTTTTAGTATGCATTCGGATTGTAAGTGTTTCTGGCTCGTATGTGCTTTGTAGGTTAGTAAACAGTTGACGGGCTGGGAGGGGGAGAGGGGGGGGGTTATTCGGCGCCTTGATGTCGTGATGGCCAACGCAGGTGTCGCCGATACGTGGCCCAACATCCTTGGAATCATCTGCCTATACCAGGCGACGCGGCAGTCACCTCCGAATCTGCTGCCACGAAATAGGTTACTACTGGTTCTAATGCTGAAATATGAGAGGTGACTGCCTGTAATCATCACTATCACCCTGATACGAAGACTGACCATACTGGTATTTTGTAGTAAGAATCACATATTCTCTTTCTACTGCACGCCTTATTTGTCTTACGAATATGATAAGGTAGAGATAGATTACTGATATAGAAAGTTAGAGGCCAAGCACCCATCCTAATGCGGCCGATGGACCGACCGAGGCTGCCGCACATTGGATCACTAAGAGGATTAACGTAGAGGAAGAGACATTAGCCAGTTTCGTTATTCATTCCGGCTAGGCACAAACAAGCATTGGCAACCTAGGTGCCAGCCTGGTCAGCCTCGAGAAAGCACCAGTGATTGTCGAGGAGTCGGTCGACGCCATGATTTCTATAATCTAGAAGGCTACTGTCACAATCTCACGATACCTAGGAACAAAGAAGGTTCCCTGTATATAGCAGTAGCGTAGCTACGAGGATATTCCGAAAGCCTCGTGCATCAACAAGTGTCATATCCCCCCCCCCCATACCAGCAGCCCTGACAGCTACTGAGTAGGAGACGGCTGGAAAACTATGTAGTTACATACGCCAACAATTAACATGCTAGGGTTAGGTCGCGTGAGAGAGGAGCCTATAGATGAAATGCTATTAGTTGTCATATTATGCTATTGTGCTTCTATCCTGCTTACACATTAGCATCAAAATAGTTAATTCACTAGATTTGAGCCGATATTGAACATGGAGTTATCGCGTTGAATGCTGAAACCGGCAAGCTGAATAGATTCAATAAGGTGCTTCACTTTCGCCCTTGTATGTTATAGGCTATTTTCTACACCTATACAAATACTAATTAAATCGATTATAAGGGGACTGGCTCCTTCGATTGAATTGGAATACGCGTAAATTTGACAATAACAACTAAAAGGAATGACCAATGCTCGCTAACTGAAAACCCTAGCTAATTTGGAGAAGACTAATTCAATGATAGATGATACTATTTGTTCACTGCTTCAGCCGAATTACACTTTGAAATAACCCTGAGATGAGGAGTACAATGGCGACGAAGGTCATTGAGTCTGGGGCTGCCAAATTGTGACGGGTTTTGGGTTATTATTAGAGTGAATGTTTCATATGGCAAGATGGCCGAGCGGTTAAGGCGGTAGACTCAAGATAATATCTTACCTGCAAAGCAGGCAGCATTCTACTGGGGCAACCCGCGTGAGTTCGAATCTCGCTCTTGTCAGGCTTTTTTTGTCGGATTTTTTTGAATACGCTACACAACGCGGGGTTCGGACCTGCGGGGGCTGGCAACCCACCTACCTACCCCACCATATAGTCCACACAACAGTAGCCAGTATTATGCATCCTTGGGAATATTGCCAATGCGGGCGTGGTGTATATTATGACTATAAGAAGAATAGTCAAAAAGTTCAATGTTCTTAACATCTAGGATTTTTGTAATTTGAAGTTATATTCTAAGTAAGCCCTACCCAACAGCCCTTGCTAGCTCATCATTGCCTGCCTCAATGTGCCTCCCTATAATACTTCCTCGACCCCAAGTTTCCCGAATTTACTCAGTCGCGTACATTGAGAGGTACAATGTGATCAAATAAGACGGAATCGTGTGTTTCCTTCGAGACTTCAATCATAATGAGGTCGCGCCATTTATGGAGCAGGTTGAATGCCTCACACCTATGTGCCTCTGCTTTCTTTACTTGGCCGAGCTCCATCAATACCTCTGATAAGGCATAGTGACATCGTGCTCTGCATTCTTCTGGGTAAGGGTTATAGGTATCGTTATGCAGCGACTCGCGAAGGAGATTCTCTGCCTTCGCGAGATTGCCAAGAGAGTGATAGACAACGCCTTAGAAGTAACAGACGTCTAAATTGAATGGATGGTACTACCGGTAGAGCTGTTTCCGGCAGGCTGATACCTTGAAGGCCAACCCCAGGGCTTCTTTGACTTGTCCCGCATTAAATAGAACCTCAGCCATGGATAATCGGAACTTTTGAATCGTGACCGATCCCGATTCCTTGTCTTCTCCAATTAGTTGCAACGCATGACTGAGGAGCTCCAAGGCAACTTTAGATCTCTTCTGAGCGAGTCTAACAAACGAGAGATTTTTAAGAGTCTCGGCGAACTCGAATGGAATATCTTTCTCCAGCCACTGGCGCTTTATTGCTAGGGACTTCTCGAAACAATCTTCAGCAGCGAAATAGTTTTCACTCTCGAGGCACATCCACCCTTTATCATTCCAGGCGTTGGATAGCAGAAGTTGATGGTCTTGAGAATGGGGCAAAGGAAGTTCGGCATTGTGCTTCTGACGGAGGACTAGAATGTCGTCAAAAAGCCGAATCGCCCGGCGCAGCTCGGAAATACCGACTGCATTCAAAAGAGACCCGATGGCGACTCCAATATTTCGCACGGAGGCGACGCAAGTGCCGGTTTCCTTCCGTTTGCCAAATTTCCTCCGCCGTTTCTAAGATGCGCAAACCCTCCCAGCCCAGATGGCGGTCCCACATGTAGTATCCCTCATCACACAAGAGATACGCAAAGTTGGCGCTTACTCTAAGTTCTTGCTGCCGTTCTATATAAATCCTGTGAAGGGCAAGGACATGTGGGATATATAGCTCGTAAAGAGTCCACCGGTGGTTGATGGGAACGCCAATGGGTGATTGTTTTGGAAAGCGCTTCTTAACAAGCTTAATAGCATTCTCGAAAACCGTCTGCCTTACATTGGGCTTCTTGTCTAATCGAAAAAGTAGATTCTTCTGTAGGCTCCGGTGCATGGTTAAAGCGGACCCGGAAGTGTCGCCTTGTGGTCTCATTAAGTGACGACTGAGGAGCTCGATGTGCATTTGATCAAACCTAGAATGTATGAACTATGAAATTCTAAGTTCATTAAGTGAGCGCTAGTGCTTACTGCATCTTGTCATCATCTGTATTGTCTAATAATATGTGTTCTGGGATTGAATCGGGGTTGAGCATCGCCATGACATCTAGTAGTGACCGAGACTTGCTCCCCAATGCTGAAAAAGCGAAGTCCCAGACGGTGTCTAGTGTATGATCATATTGTTGAGTCATGCTGCTTCGGAAATCCATCGACCAAACAACCGAAGCTTGTTTTCGTTCTTTGAATTGTTCCGGGAAATATGATAGTGGTCGCCCCAGCTGGCCAACATATCCCGCCACGTGGGCGATGGCGATGGGCAGTCCCTCGACTTCTCTAGCGACAGCTTCGCATTCTCAATGTCGTTGAGAAACATGCCACTCTCCTCGCCTTTGTGGTCGAGATATTTCAAAAGAAGTCGAGCGCCATCCTCTTTTGTCATTGGTGTCAAGTGGATAGAAAAGGTTGAGCAATGCTTCACCTGTTGGTTCTGTGTGGTGACGATCACAGATCCATGGGGATATACGGGCCAATAAGATTTAATGCTATCGAAGTCTATGACATTGTCGAAAATCAATAGCCAATCTTTATCTATACAATGTCAGAAACTAACAGGTAGGTCATATAGGACGAGACATTATTCACGCTTGGAAAGCCCCTGCTGAGCCAATGTGATGAGTTGGCTCTGATCTTGTATCTCAGAGTCCTTTGCTAGGTTTAAGGCTCTCGCGATACGGCTGAAAGTGTCAGCTAGCTCAACGGGAGTTTCAGCCCGCAACCAGAAAATACAGCAGTCCGGCTTAGATAGGCGGTAGCGGAACTCGAGCGCTGTCTGCGTCTTACCCACGCCACCCATCCCATGTATGGTACAAGAACGAGTACCGCATCCTGATTCTGGTTGTGCTAGGTAAGCAGAACTAGGGTCTCGCGGGCCACCCCATCGCGGGCCACCCATGTTAGCGCATTTTCTCCCAGCCACCTAATTTTTCGTTTATATAACAACGCAACAACTACTTAACTGTAAAATCTCTTTTTTATATTAATTTATTTATTTTTAATTAAATTTTATTGTAATGCTTTTATTAAGCAATAAAAAACGCGCGATTGCTATAATATATAACGTTAAATTTAGTATATTATAACGTTAGGCCGCTAAAAAAATAAAATATATTTAAATTTTATATTAGCTGCTGTTTAGCTAAAATATTAACCTAAAAAAAAATATATTAACACTTTTAAATATTATTTACAAACTTTAAAAAGCAATTAGTTACTTAAGCTATTAGTTAAACTAAACTTAGCTTTATGTTTGCAATAATTATTTTTAAACAAATAGCTTAACAGCTGCTAATAGCTTTAAATAACTTTTAACAGCTAAAAAAGCAATAGTATACACATTTTTTAGCTTAAAACAATAAAATAACTTTTGCTAAAATTAAAATTATTAATTATAAACGCGTTAATAATATAATTATAATTAATATTAACATTTTTTTTAACCGATTTAACGCTTTAAATATTATAAATATTTTAGTTTACTATTAATTTAACTTTAATAAAATAAAAGTTAGCTAAAGCATTAAAAAAAGCTATTAAGCTATTTATAAAGCTATTAATTAACTAGCTTTAAAACGCAATATTAAAAAAAGCAAATAAATTATTTGTTTTAAATATATATTAGCTAATAATATAGCTTTTTTATTGTTAATTATTTTTAAAAATATTAATATTTAATAACAATAGTTTTTTAAAAATTAACAGTTTTAATGTTTGTTTAATAAATAAACTAATAAAGTTATTGCGTTAAATTAGTTTAAAAACATTTTTGTTTTATATATTTAAGCTTTTTTTAGCAACATATAAATAGTATTAGTTTGTAATAGCTATAATTTTTATATATATAATGTTTTTTTAACTGCTTATATATAAAATAAAATATAACTAATGTTTTATAAGCTTTATTATAGTTATATTATATAAATATTAAACGTTAATATTTTTAGTTTATTTAAAAAAAAGCTGCAAAAGCAACTTAAAGCTACTTTAATAACTTATTTAAATATTAAGCTTTTTAAACAAAATATATTAATAGCTTATTGCAAAGCTTAAATTAATATTTTTGCAATATATATAATTAAACAAGCTTAAAAAACAATTAAAATATAGCTATAAAACTATTTAATATTATTAAAATCAAAATATATAATTTTTAAAAACTAAAATGTAGCAAAGTTAGCGCTATTTAACTTTTTAAGCGTTAAACAGTTAAAAACATTTAATTTTTTAAATATTATATTAAATATAACAATTAAAATGTTTACAAAAAGTTAAAATTTGCAGCAAACTAGCATAAAATTTATTATAAAATATACTTTTTTTAATAACTTTTGTTAAAAGCTATTTGCAAAAAAAGCTAGCAAAGCTTTAAATAGTTAAGCTTTAAAAATTGCGTTGTTATAAGCACGCGTTAACTATTTTAAAGCCAAACTTTAAAAAAAAGTTAAATTAACGTTAAATTAGCAATTTATTTAAATAACATATGTATAACAAATAAAAAAGCTGCTAAAGTTACAAAAAGTGTACGCTAATAAAGCAAACGATATAAAAATGCTACAAATTAAAATATTGGATGTTAAAAACTTTATTAAGGTAGCAATAAGCTAATTAATAAAAAATCATCGAAAAAACGGTGAAATAAGTGGTATTAGCTAAAAAAAAAGCTTTGTTGGGTAATTGGTAGTGAAATTGGTAGGTGGCCCGCGATGGGGTGGCCCGCGAGACCCTAGTTCTGCTTATAAGCCATGTTCTATACGTTTTAGTATCTCATGGCGGCAGATGAATGATGAGTTGCAACCGAAAGGTAAAGTTTTAACTTTTGATACTTCCGCCCGAGAGATGGTGGCGTTAGTTATTTGCTTGTGTATTCGACTGGCCGTCTCGATGTGCGCGAAATTCACCTCGCTCTCGAAAACAAGTTTACAATTCTCGACTCGGACCTTCGCATCGTTAAACCCCCGCTCGACCGGTCCTCCTTTTAAGTAGACTAATAGTAGATTCACTTTAAAAGTTAGTAATAAGTTAATGTCTGAGATGAAAGTTGGCTCTACCTGTTGGCCGTTTCCCAAGGTAACATGCCGCATCAATGCATATACCGACATATATCTTGCAGATATCCTGGAGGGCTGCTCGGAGCCTAGGATGGTGGGGAAATAACGCCACATAGTCGCTGCACTGTGGTAGGGTCCTTGTAAAGTCTTCGAGGTGGTCGGTTATATGCGTCAACACTTTATATGAGTGCTGTGCGCTCTAGGTGAGTCCAATCATCAGTAAAGAAACGTGAACTGAGACTAGT